TATCAGATAGCGGAAGGAAGCTGAGCAAGCCTCGAGGCTCCCAAAATTTTCTCGTTTTGTCTACTGCATACTTTCGTTAAAGAAAATGTTTACCTCTTCTTGTTAGTAACGCTGCTCCACATCATGCTATTCATTGAACTATAATCACTAAGAGCCAACAGCATTTTTAAAAGCTTCGATCTCCAGATATTCTTATAATTATTAATTTTAGTTTTTAAAAAAATTTCTGACGTCTTTTATAGAGAAATATATTTGAGCAAAAAAGCCTCTCCTGACCAAAAAAAATTGCAGATCCACTCGCCATGTGAAAAAGACTCACTATGGTGCTACTGTCAGAACAGACAAGCAGGCATAAAAAGTAGCTGAATGCAAGATGGCGTTGTGAACAAAAATTATTTCACGAGGGAACCCCCCCTCGACACACACATACACATGTAAACGGTTCTGAACATAATGAGACATATTGTGAGGGGACGTGAAAATAAAAGATCTCGGAAAATTAGCAGAATAGATCGCGGAAGGAAATAAAGACAGAAAGGAATTCGGAAAAATGTCAATTAAGCATTTCTGCAGAAAAGACCTTGGAGAAATAAAGCTATCTATTTATGCAGAAAAGATCTCGGAATAATTAATTAATAAATAGCAAAAGCTTTCACACCCCGGTATATTATACCCTCCAAACAGTGTAGTCTTTGGCAAAACGATTCTTCAATGCAAAACTTTTTGCAGCACTTATAAGAATATGACACAAATAAAAAAAAAGAGGACAAGGGGACAAGGTCAGTTTTCTAGTCTTGTTGTAATGCTAATTTTATTTTTGTTGGACGTCCTCTTTCCCTACGTTTATAAATAAGTTGTGGGAGAGACCTTGTGCCCCACAATATCATTAAACCAATTGCATGTATACATGAGTATTATTTGAGACCATATCTACACGAACACAACCATGGTGGTAAAACACGTGAACAGTGGAGCAAACGGGCTGCTGATGACCAGCGATCAAATGAATGCCCATCTGCTGAATTTAATTGGCGTACCAAAATGGCAATATCAATAGCCATTCACGGTCAAAATAATCTTTGAAATCCTTTAATTCTTGATCAACAGATCATTTTTTAATGTTTTATCAGATGAGCAGCTGATTCGAATATTGTATCATCAAACACCAGCTGTAGATTATGGGCGTCCTGTTCAACTGCCGTCCATTTCTTTCCATTTGTAATCAAACTGCGATGTTCTCAACGTTTTCGTATAACATGTGCCCAACACAGTCGTCGTGCTGATGGTAATTCTAGCATGGCACTTGTCACATGTGGAGCACCATCAGCCATCACATAAGAAAGTTGCTCCGCTTTGTATAGAGCATTGTTATTTCTGAATACTCCCAGCTTTATACTAACTTGAATTCCACGAAATAATGTTTTAAACGTTTCGACAGATTCATCAGTTGAAATAAAGCATACACCAATTGGACAAAAATGACGATATAGATCACTGGTGCCAAAGACCACAAGTGGTAATTCATTAGTTGTTATTTTGTACGTACAATCGATGGCCAAAACTGTTGAGTATCGACATATCGATAATAGTGGACGAGTGGTTAAACAAATGAATGTTATCGACGTTAGTTACTTCAAAGCGGGGTACAAATACCTGATGTGGCATTGCTGTTGGTGGAAAATGATTACGACTTGAACATCAGGCCTGTAAATCTTCAATAGATTTTATACTGCAACGATTCTTTTGCCGATGTGTACGAATTTTTGTTATATTGTTTGATAATTGAGGATTGAACACGGTAACTGCCTTCTGAATTTTTCGGAGTGTTAAACCGGTATCTGTCACCAGTACGATGTTGTGTCGAACAGGCGATGGAAGACGACTTGTCTGGGCGCGTGTACGATGATTATGTGCTTCTGACGAATAGAGTTGATACCCATCTAAACTTTCTTTTCCTTTCAGTTGAAACTGACATAGTGGGTACTTTTTGTATTCTGAACATTTATATGTAATCGATGTGCGGGCGTTACATGTTTCCTTTCGATAAACACAAACATGTTGATCTTTAATAAAATCGGATAAATCGCTTTCAGTATCGTATAAGAGCACTTCATTCCACATGCGACGTAACATTTTTAAGTTTACAGTTAGAATGTAGTTGAAAATGAAGTTGAAAATGTTATGACTTCATAATACTGTGCTTTCGGTGTCGGAGGTGGGACCGATTTCGGTTCGGTCTGAGTTTTTCATAAATCGGTGAGTAAAATAAAAATTACTGTTTGAAGCATAACTAATCAAAGGAAGGTATCATAGCCAAAAGCAAGTGCAAGAATAAACATCGTACGTATACAACCATATGTGCAAAATGTCGAAACTTTGCTCAGATGAAGACTTTTGCATATTCTCTTTTTATTTAAATAAGTTGTTGCGATTTTACCAGATCTCCATATTGACTGGATTGCGCTGAAAAAGTTTTGAATTCACTTGAACCAAGGAATAATCAGTTAAAAACATGTTGTTTTGTATTGTGAACTGGATTAGACTACTTTTTTAGACAAAAGACACAGACTGAAAAATCTGTTTTCATGGACTCTATAACGAATAAAATATAGAAAGTGGCTTGTTTTGCAGATTGATTTTTTTTCATCCAATAGAGCATATCATAAGCACCCAAGGAGAAAAAAAATATCGACTATCGGGCGATCTAGCTAGCTAACCCAATATACTACCCGATATACCTAGCTAGCAATTCGAATTGGGTTATTTACTATCGGGCGATATAGCTAGCTAACACGATACATTACTAGATATAGCTA